CTACCCAATAAATTTCACAGTGGAAAAATTTGTATAAAATTACTGCATTCACCCGAGTTATATACCGAATATGCACCTTTTTTCTCAAAATTGAGAGTCAAAAAAGAAGGTGTTCATCATAAGTGGGTGTATGCATTAATTGTTTGAACTTTTTGGTGCGCATTATATTTTATTTAATATAATGGGAAACTTTGGACCAATTTCAACAGAAAAACTTACTGTAATAGAAGTAATTGAAAATTACTGTAGTTGAATTCAGGATCAAATCATGGTTAAATCAACTTTTGGGTGCAATTGCAGTACACTATTTTTGAAAATTTGCAGTTTTAGAGTCACTAAAAATGGGGTGAGCTTTTTACTCAGGGATAGAAATTTTTTTGAAAAGAGTTGACTGAAAAACTCTGGTACACGCCTTATTCAAGGGCAGATATGGACCAGGATCGTTTTTGAGTATGAATTGGAGTGAATGGATAATATATGAGATTAATTTTTTTAATTTCTGTGAAAAATAAATACTTCAACTTTCAATCAAGAGATATCACAATAATTTTTTGGCATGAAATTTTTCCCTTTTTTGATACAATTTGGAAAGTGTCCCTGTATCCCGAGATTCTAGTGTCCCCTAAAGTCGAATCGTTCGTATGTCGGGGTCTCATTGTATTTTTTGTTCATCATTTCCATTCTCTCATCATCGATCTTGCGTATGTATGAGCGGTATTTATTTAGAAGCCAGGGATTCAGCCGAAATCAGTAGCTTGGATAGTTGATGGATTTTTCGTTGGTGCTGGAGAGGAACGAAACCGATGAATTTTTAAAAAAAAAGCACACACCCCAATAAACTTCGAAAAGTGTACTACAGGCACACAACAAGCACTGTCCGACTGAAAAAGAAACATCTACGAGCTTGCGTAGGCTTGCTTTAACGGCGGCAGAACCACGAGCGGATTTTATCGAACCTGCCGCATTTTTGTAGTCACTTCCAAGCGTTAAAATGAAACTTGCTCGTCTTCCTTCGCGTTACTTGGATTTTTTTTTGCAAATGAATGCTGGGTCGAGATATGTCTGTAAATGTGAATGTATTTCTGATCGCAGACGGCAGATTTTTTCGTGGAGACATAGAGTTTGCGAGTACAGCAGTACGGTACAATTCTCCTGATGATGATGAGGCGCGAGTGCCGGATGACTGATTGCCCTTAAATTAAGGAGTAGCTCGTAGTGATATATATGTAATATCTTTCTAAGACTGCCCTTACACGCACACAGAGTAACAGTATCTTTTAAACGCTCTGCTTTTACGTAGAAAAACTAGGACTAAGTTATCTTGCGCAAACATACATAATTATTCATCAGCATTATTTCTCTATGGAATCTTTTATTCTTCTCCATCAGAACCATTCAAAATACGGTGAGCAAGGAATGCATTGTTTGTTCTATGAATGAATGAATGAACAGTACACTTTATTTGCCACTTTTCAGCATTCACAAGGTTCAATCAAGATTTCCACAACCAAGCCCCCTTCCCATACCCAACCCAAATCCACTCAATGACATTAAATCACTTCAGAGAAGGAAACAGAGTACAAATTGATAACATAATAAAAGAAAATAAAATCCACAAAATACAACTGGACATCTGATATGTATGCATACACCCATTCATTCCCTGGACATTGAAAACAAAATATCTACAAAAATTAATTTAAATAAGCACAAGGTTGTTTGTTCTAATGCATCATTTTGATGGTTTTCTTTGTTATACCCTCTGCGCAAAAACTTGGCAAGCAAGGAACAATGATTATCTTTCAGACTTTAAAAAAGTGAAAGAATTACTTATTGTTAAGCTTCACTTAAATACTAGGAAAATAACTAATTTTGAATCTTGTTGATATTGACTGAGACTGGCAAATAATCACACATCTCTTGTCCAATTATTTCTTCAACAGGAAGATAAATATTGCAGTACGGTACTGTATATTGCTAAACAGTATAGACTGAATAAATCAACTAATACTGTTGAATCAACACAGATCAAACAAGTCATATTGATAAAATGTGAAGAATTGATGACATATTGCAAATGTTGACAATCTGCATGATAATACTGCACTTGGATTTAATTCACTGTGGTATTCAGGTTGAATTTGATGGCATCAATAATTTGTCACTCCCTATTAACAGAGGCCTGAGATTGTTGGAAATATATTCAGCCGTATAATACAGCCAAACTTTTTCAAGCTTGTTCCAGCAACTTCAGAAAATGACCATTACAATTACAGGTGGACTCTCTCTAGAAAGGAGCTCAATAAGGCCCAAAACAAATTTTTTTATTTTGTTGCAGAGAACCCCTGTGACATGGGGAGAGAACCCTATGCTGGGACCAAACAAATTGTTGTTCAGAGAAAATTTTTCATAGACAAGATTTTTGTACAGAGAGTCCACCTGCACTTGAAATGATTTTTAAAAGCCCAATCAGCCAGAAGTTTCTTAGCGTAAATTAATAATGATTGAATGCCAAAAATTCGTTTTCTATTTTCTGAAGCACCCTTATTGCTATTGCTCATGTTTGTTTTGAGCAGTTTTCAATATCAAACCTACAGATAATTGAAATACCGTAAGTCACATTCATATTACAGTAATGGACAAAGATAAGAAAAACTCCAAAATTTTCAGAAAATTCTTCATGGACGTAGGCAGGTATGTATTATCTCACAGCACCCCTGCTGGGCGCACAGTGTGAGAATATTCATACGCACCTATCACCATCTGCATTCCATTCTACAGAAATAAGGAAAATAAACTATGCATATTTACATAGAAGCTCCCAATTCACAAGGTTTGCCAAAAATTATTTACGCATCAGATATGCTGTGAGAAACCGCAACAATTAAGTTCATATACAAATGTCAGCTGCATGCTGATTCATTGTTGATTTGCACGCACAGATTTAAGAATCATACAGTTAAACCTGGAATGGTTCACAATAGCTCAGACAAAATGGGCAGTAGCAGAATCTTCCTTCAAAATATTGTACTTCACGTTTTATTTTGATGGGTATAGTTGGTGATGGAACGCTACACCTTCCTAGGCTTTATATCTTCCCGTATTTTGAGGTTATTTTATTGAGCAATAGATGTCGCAAAAAAAAACTGAAAACCGCTGTAACGCAGAATCTCTCAAATGTAAATGGAGGAATACTATACAGTACAGTAATATATCAAGGACCACGTAAGTATAAGGAACGAACCCCGAGTTTTGAACCTAATATTTTAATGAAATCCTATCCAGCAGGAGTTTAATGCACATCCCATACTATATATATGTTTAGTGACTGCTGTAGAACTACTGTACAATATTTCAAAGATAGGAGACACCAGAAGCATTTTTCATTTAAACTTTAATTCAACCTGAATTCATTTAATTTTCAAGTGCTTTGATCTTTGAAAAGTTCCTGCGAAAACTTTTTGCAATATACAATATATCATAAAAATAAGGGGGTCCATCCCCTGAAAACATGAGGGGCTGAACTGAAGGGATGATAACTGCTATAAAGAGCAGGCTGTTGGGATACTTACATTTTTGGCTAATGCCAGTTTTTCTTATTGGCAGATATTATCCAGGTAAGAGGTAACCATCATCATCATATGATGCAGATGCCTTGTTGGAGGGCACACAAATATCCGTCACCTGGATGCTGGAGTGGATAGTAATGAGTTTTTTCTGGTTGTCACCATCATCATATAATCAGGCTTTCCCTTTTCAAATAATGCTCAAACCTTGTCCTTCAGAGATTTATTCCATGAAACATTGGCTGGCTGCACATATTTTGTACAATAATAACTCCCTGGATTGAATGACGGTATGATATGTTTTCATACTGTAATATGTCAGCTCCTACTGTTTAGTATTTTGATTAATATATAGGCACCATATTCGAGTCCAAAACCTGAATTTTCTTATTTTGAATGAAAATGTTCCACAAAATTTTTGCAGCCATTGCATTAAAGTACTGTTACGCACATCCATTCATCCATCAATTTCCAGGACAGCTTATTAATTTACAGAGAAGTCCATGCACACAGCTGCGCCTATATGCTGCATGCTGTGGACTGGTCCACAACTCCAGCACATACAGTACAGTAGCTGTACTGCACATTATATGTAAATACTGTATATATATAATCAGAAGCAAGCACCCATATGTGATTCGGCCAATCTGCCTTAGGCCTGTTTTTGAGCTATGGCCTGTATTACAAGTAGTACTAGCAGTACCATACAGCATACATAAACTGTTGTTTATTGAATGACAGACACACGCTGTATATAAACTAGCATTCATCAGCACAGCAGTGTATATTTGCTATGAGTATGTCACATCCTTCCCGAAATTAGCCCAATTGATAAACTATATTTCATCAGGTATATAAAGTATTTGATTTTTACAAGAAAACATGACTGCATCATCCAAGATTTGCCACAATTTTTGAGTATCAAAGTTATTTACAGTATTTTGACACATCCATCAATGTTGCAGCCTTTGACGTCTCTTATTGAGTATAGATGCACGATAAAATTTGAGGCAAAACGGCAGACAGGATAGAGCTTAAATATGTGACAGAATTTGGATTTTCAACCGTACAGTACTGTCGTATCATGGGTTTTAAAATACTGTATGGCTCTTTTTAAATTTCGGGATGATTTCTAAAACTGCTGTATGAAAAAAATTATTTTGTGCCCACCTATATATATATATGGTATATATATATATATATATATATATATATGATGCGCACCCTATTTTTTGAATATCAGAAACAAAGGTGTGCTTTGGTTTTCGCGGGAAATATGGTATTTTTACATGCTACAGACTTAGAGTATAGACTTTAGAGAATAAAGTACAGTACATGACAACATGTACTATGCCGCAAATCCGTAATGCAGCATTACAGTGCTGCTGCACCGCATGAAAATATCGGTGGTCCGATTGGCTGGGTAGCGTCCTCTATCAGGAAAACTCAGAAATGTCTCATGCAGGAAGTAAATATCTAGAGCATAGGCAGTGTTATCGAACTGTTAAACTTGAGGGCGCGCGAAGCGGACTGAGAGATAATCAGGAACTCGAGGCCTTGTTGTAGTTAGTGACGGAGCTGTTCATCCAGGAGCGGGCCTGCGTCGATTACGGCTGGGTTTTGTTGTGCAATATCTGGTCCGTTGAGAAAAAATAAAATGCCGGATTCGGTTGAAAAATCCCGTCTCAAGACTTACAAGCTTGCTGAAGTGGCTGCGAAGAATAAAGAAGGTGCTTGCATTGTAGTGATCCACGATCTCGTGTACGACTTGACAAAATTTCTGGAAGAGGTTAGCATTTACCGAGGCTATTATGTACAGTACAGTAGTATGATCATTTTTATCCGACATTTATTCTTGCAGCATCCAGGAGGAGAGGAAGTCTTATTAGAACAAGGTGGCAAAATTGCGACGGAGGCTTTTGAGGACGTTGGGCATTCCACTGATGCCCGCGACCTGATGAAGAATTATATTGTTGGAGAGATTTGTGAGGTGAGTTTTGAGAATGAGTCTCGACATGTTCTTCGAATAAGGTGTTATCTTTGCTGCGCAGGAAGAGAAGCAGAAGACCGAAGAAAAGCCGTTGAGGTGGACGAAAGACCCGGTACCCGAAAGGTTTGCTCAAGTGAAAGCTTCGTACTGTATTTCCTAGGTTGCATTTCCTTTAATTGCAGTAGTTGGAAGCAGTGGATTCTTCCGATGGGAGTCGCCGTCGTCGGATCGGCATTGTTCAGATTGTATCTCTCCGAGCGGGGATGATGTAGGTAGGCAAATTGATCGCACTGAATGATTTTTCGAAATTGTTTGGATTGCTCTCTTAGCCTTCGTGACGCTTAGAATCCGGACTATTTTTTATTGAGTTCACGTTGATTTCTTGAACCCCCTGAAAGGTTTCTCGAGAATCTAAATCCATCTCGACGCTTCAAAAGCGCTATAGTTAAATGCACATACACTGCTGTACATCTGCCCCCTGGTGGAAAGTGAGAAAGTGACGAGGATTAAAGCACTCAGACGCGAATCAAGAAGGAAAAAACCCAACCTAACCATTTATTTTCAGGATGGAATAAGTCTCATGAAAGTTCTCTCATTTTTTCCAGCTTGGGATGAGATCACAACAGACCTTCTCGGTACATCTTGAATGCTCTGGTTATGATAATTGTATTTTTTGTAATTCGTTAGCTGTAATTCTAAAATGCAGATGGGGTTTATTTCAAACCGTCTTCGAGCCAAATAACTCCCGAGGGAACCGAAATGACAGTTCTAGAAAAATCAACAATTCGTTTGGGGCAAAAAGCCATGTGCGTCGCTTGTATTATCCTCCTTGTCGCTTGTCTTCCTGTTGTCGCCGACTGTAAACGTTGAAATGATTATGGGTCTGAAGAAGTGGTTTCTTTTTCACTCCTTGTTTTGCAGACATTCCATGCCACTAAGTTCGAGCATCAACTCTTGTTCAACGGAGAGCAATCGGTTTTGGCGGGCACTGGTTTACAATCAATTATTCGTGGTCAGTTGAACTACATGGGTGGGGCATGTCAAAATTAAGTCGTTTCATGGTGCAGGAAAGAAGGAAGCTGTTATTGCCAATGTTTGAAAGCCCTCGCTTCTTCATAAATTGCATCCATTTCTCTTCTACTTATTCAGTGTATTTGAAGAATGGCGTGTGTACCATTGGTGCCCGAAGTGCGACGAGCAGAGTTCGGTTTCCGCATCGCGGAGTCGCTGATCGCGTTGAGTGCGGTAACCGACAGGCTCACTAATGTGGTGAATGCGCGGTTGGATCTTCTGGAACAGCGGCTGGTAGTGATCAAATCTCGAGTTGACGCTGCTAATGAGAATGTTACAAAAGTCGCTGGAACGAGAAAGGCAATCAAGGTTTATGCAAGTCCACGCTTCCCCGAGAAAGCGAATTCCCAACAAAATTCGAGAACGTTTTTGCGCTCCAAGTTCGTGAATACAACTCCCGAGGAGAAGCAGATCCACCGTGGGCCTCCAGATCCTATTTCGGAGATTCTAGAGGAAAAATTGCAGCTGGTTCACGTTAAACCGAAGGTTCGCGAAAGTTCGAATCACCAATGGTTCTCTGGACTTGGACTCATCCCGGAGTCAGTGGAGTCGGTAGACTCCCTGCTTCTTTTCAACACGTCTGATAATCCGTGAGCTATTCAAATTTCTGCGTCCAGCTTCCTGAATGAATTGATTTACCGAGTTCAACAGGTATGAGCGTTATTTTCTAACGGACCCATTGTCGGGAGAAGCTGTGAATCCAAGCAAATTTCGAGAGATTGAAGATAAAAATACGTTGGTGGATGCCCCTCTATCCATTGCCCAGCGGGAACAGTTGCTGCCTCCGGAGAAAGAATCATTTTTATATATGCCTTCCATTGGGAATATTCCTGAGTTCGATATTCCTGATCATCTTCCAGATCTCGACGGTACGTCTTCTATTCATTGCTTATGGTTTTTCCAAGGTAATGGATGGATTATTGCCGGACGATGTATCACTTCGATGTTCTAGTGGTTTATCGAACTGAAATTAGAATGGACTGGTAATGCCGAATTTAGCCCTATCCTTGCTCTTATTAGCTCATTAATTTATTTTCTGCTATAATTTTAGATTTTCAGAATTCAGGTCGTGCTCTGAACTAGTGTTTAGCATATGAAGAGTTGTCCAGAGGAGGGTGAATGCCTTTTTAACCTCGACAAATAGTTTATTTTCTTCACAACCTATTCCTACATGGGGTGGTTTTTCTTAATCTTCGTATCATGTAACATTTTTGCGTCAAGAGAGCGGCAGTAATATGAGTTGAAAAAATATGAGGGACATGATGGGCATCTTTTTTTTTCGATTAATGACTTGCTCGACATAGAACCTGCGTCTGTAGAGTTTGGGGAACTTGCCTACCAAAAATGCGGACGTGAAAAGGCATGTTTAACTTCTTTTCAGTGCAAATGGCTTAAATGGCCAAACCAACACAGCTAAACTTGTCGTTATTGTATAGTTGATCTAATTTATTACTTATTCTTTGAAGTGGCGGCTAACCCCATTCAGGAGATACCCGCCGTTGAAATCACCTTTTCCTTGTTTACTTCCGTGAACTTATCTTGTAGATTCTAAATTTTTCGTTTAATGTTAAAACGCTGTATGGCCTATGAAAGAATTTGTGATTCGTTTCCAAAACTCCGTCGACTGGAAGCCTTCGAACTTATCCGTTTCAACGAATGTCAATGTGAACTTGAAGTCACGCATGTTTTGAAGCTTGATGAGCAAGTAGAGAACGACTCATTGCAATCAATTTTACGATGCTTCCAGGGGTTGTTGAAGACTTGGAATGCGAAGTCGACCTGGGACCGGGAATCGCTCCTTCGATTCCGGATTCGTTAAGGGACTTCTTGCTGGACTCGGCATCGCGAAGTATGCCGACCCCGATGAGTGTTACTGCGCCGGTGAAAGTTTCTCAAAAGTCGGTCGGAAGTGTGCCGGTACCTGCCGAACCTTCGGTTGTCCATATTGTGACGACGACCGTGGAAATACCGACCACGGTGCTGATATCAGCAGAGAATCAGATTGCTGCAGTCGCTGGTCTTCCTCCTCCGCCACCACCGCCGCCGCCGCCCCCACCACCGCCACCTCCTTTGCCGCCACCTGCCATACCTGCTGCCAGTGTTGAGGTGAGAAACAAAAATCGAACGATCGATGTCTTGTGCGAAGTGGTGCCAGATTTTCATCGTGTCCGAATTTAGTTCATCAATTTATCGGTTCGGAGTATTTTTTGCGAAACCGGATTCCCCCTCTCCGACATAAAATCCTTCCAATAGTCTACGTCGCGATTTAATGTAAGAGTATTTGTGAAAAGGTCATCAGTGTCTTTCAGGAGTTGTTTTTTTTGTTTTTTGTTTTTTTTGCACGCAAACAATAGATGTATTGATATGCTAGTTTTTATCCGTATTCGAATGTATTTTCGTCGTAAGAAACTTGATATGTTCCTACGACTTCGCTTGACTTACTTCCTTCCATTGATTAAACGTAAAATTCAAGTTTTATACTGTACATGTGTAAAGTAATGATTCCCACTTGTGCGAACATTTCTTTCAAAATCGGATTTCTCGTCGTATGAAGAACAAAAGATATATATTTTCGATTTCTTGACTATTTCTTCGCGATGTGTCAGGCGTGATTAATGCTAGGTGAATACTGAAATGCATTTGAGGACATTGAGGTGCAATTTCTCTCTTCGTCCAACAGGTACCCGATGGAGGGAATGCTCGTGCGAGTTTGATGGAGGCTATAAGAAATGCTGGAGGATCTGGTAGTGGAAAGTTACACTCTATAAAACAGCGGAAAATGGAGGCAAAGAAGAAAATCCAGGTACTTCACGTGATATTTCTCATATCGTGGCAAAACATTCTGGTGCAAGCAAAACCGTGATTCACGATGAGTCCGCATTTTTTTTGAGAAAATTTTGTTGCGTCATGTTTCGAAATCTTTCGATATTCATGCCATGCATGTGTTCTACTTCTCAAACGCAGATTAAATTGCTGTGCCTGGAAAGGAACGAGTATCGAAATATATCTATAAGCCTCGTTCAGAATGAAACCGAACATTTTTTGTTGACTTGTAACTGTAAATTCCTTAAATCAGTATCCGAGCTCGCATTGGGGTTCTTTTCAAGCATTCTGCTCCCACAATTTCATCTGTGGTCAATCCGAAATTTGCCGTTTGTAAAGGAAGTTCTCTGATGAACGAAAAATGCATGCCTAAGCTTTTTTCTCATTGATATTCGAAGGTTTTTTGGGTATGAATGCTCATGATATTTTAGAACGAGCTTGTTATTGAAGCATTGTTTCAGCAGTTCTATTTTATCAGTAGTATTGAAACGGCAAAGGTTTCTTCGAGGCAAGCCATTTTAGACAGATACAAATTTTTGAAGAGGGTAAAGCCATTAGGCTGTAATGTATTCGGAAGGCGCGTAAGATCCTCATGCCGTGAATTTTCTGTTATTGATAATTTTGCAGTAATAATGGGATTTTTTGAATTCATGAAAATTACACTATCAGAATGCATAATTAAGCTTTTTCGAAATCTTTTCGTCCTTTTTCCTTTTGCTATGCAGTACTTATGAAGTATCACTGTAAGTGAACAAGAAGCAACATGCATGGATGTAGGAATATTTGAATCGTACTTCGAAGCGAGCTCCTAAATTCGCTTCCCGGCAATTTCTTTACCCCTTTTAGTGATGTATTTTGAAAATCCGATCGAAATCCTAGGCTTCCTGTATGCTATTCATGCAAACGAATGCACTAATGGGTTCTTCAGTTTTTTGTTAGTCTAGGATTTTCTTGGGGTCCAGTGAAAATCTCGGTTTTGCATTCTCCGTAGAACTTATTTTTCAACTTTACCGGCGAGAATAAAGTCAAATGCATTCAGAGGCGGGATAATTTTTATGGTACTGTAATTGGTGAGCAAACTTTTTTGTTCAGCGGTTTGTCGAGGAAACATTTTTTGGGGAAAAAAAATTTTTCATGACGTCAATCTCCTGTCGAAGACGGGCGAAAATTGTGCAAGAGGTGAAGTATTCGCTGTATATGGGATGGAAAATTTTTTTTCTATCGTTTGCATCATTGTTAGAATGGAATCTACGCGTCATGAATATACAGTAAATCAGACCGTACGTCGATCATCGTTTCCCTTCTTGAGGCTGGAGAAGAGAAGTTTTTGTTTGTTTTGAAAGGAACGGACGTATCTGACGTCAACCTTGAAGTTTTTTTTTGCGATAACTCATTGAATACCTTTCTCATGCTCGGAAGCACTGATTTCAGGCAAACAATAGGCCCGAAAAGCGTCCCTGTTACTTCGGTGGCATTCACTATGTATGGAATCATGTGCATTTTCAATATGCGTGTGTGTAAGCCACAACTAATAAGTTGTAACGGGAGCTTTGTAGTGTTTCCAATCATTTCTGCGTTTGATCACGTGAAGTTGAAAATTACGTGAGGTAACTTCACGATATTCATTTGAGCTGATCGCTATTGGAGGGAATATTTCACGGTTCACTGTATTAGTGATCAGCCCCTACTTCAAATATTTTATGGTAGATACATGTTAAAGTATGCCCTGTTGGACGTATTAACTCGAGGTCTGATTGTGTGATCTGACCCCTCTCTCTTATGAGCAGGAAGACAAGGAAGTCGGGATGTCTGGAGGAAGCGATCTTATGGCTGCTTTGACTGCTAAGCTGGTTTTAAGGAGAAAAGCCATCTCGGGATCGAAGGTACTTCAACTCTACTGCAGTAAAATTCTGTTACGACGAATCTCGTTTCAAAAATTTTTTTCATTCCAGTAGTTCCTCCTTTTAAGTGCAATGTCATGAAAATCATATTGTAAAAAAATTAATTATACGCTGTAATCTCAGTATAACAAAATTTTGGGCCCAACTTCGTGCATAGGCCTTGGGAACTATTTCATGAATGGCTGAAAAAATTAGAAAGTTGAACTGTTGCAGCATTCCAACTTCATCAAATTAGAAAAATTGTTTCTAGAAAGCATGTAGTGTTTTTAAAAAAATTGCACAAAACATATCATTTCTTGAAAATTCTCTAGTTTCACTCGAGAATGTGTGCTTTTCTTTCAAAAATGGAGTATGTAGGAAAGAATTTTCCATTGGGTATTTCCAGAATGGCTCTATATTTTACCTTTCACAAAATTCCTGCCCGAAATGTGTTAAAATCCATGAATCGCGATGTGACAAATTTTTCATTTTATCGAAATTTTTATCTGGTCTCTGGGAGTTTGTTGAGAAGATATACAGTATTACTGTATTCATATGGTTTATATCCTCACGTGTTAGATTTTATGTTATTCTCTGGGTAAAGTGATGATATGAGATTTCCCCTGATATTTGTATTACTTTTTTGGGTTTGACCTACCAGTGTATTGACCAAGGAGATGAGCAAGCTGTACAAGTAATGGTGAAGTGGTGATATCTTACCAGAAAAATACCAACGCGATCAGAGTGACCCAATAAAAGTGGGACGCTGAAGTTCCGAATTTGTTTTCGTTTCCTTCAAGTGTTCTTACAAAATTTTTCCAAAATTTCTGACACACTTTTATTAGACCACTGTCTGGGAGACATATTTGGGTGAATTTCATTGAAAAGTTAATTCTTTTCTTTTATGCTCGAAAGTCCATTTCTTAATTATTTTTGAACATTATTTGATTTCTTCTTTTGTGTAACAGGAACCGAGGGAATCTTCATCCTCTTCAGCGAGCCAAATCTTCTCAAGCCCTCTCGAATCAATCGCAGCTTTGATTCCACCGCCGCCGACCGGTGTGAAGGAAAGCGCCGAAGAAGACAATGATGATTGGGACTGAACGTCGATTCGTTGCTGTTGTTTTTTTCTACTGAAAAACTGTGATTTGTTTCTCCTAAACTGCTGCATTTCCTGTACCGTGCCGCGACGTGATACGTACACATATAATTTTGCTTCCGTGGAAAGATGTGATACCGAAGAGATGGAGAGATCGGTGGTTTATTGCTGGCATTGAGAAGCGAGGTTTACGATATTATTTTGATGAAGTCTTCGGCTTTGCAAGGAGTAGATGGATGTCTTCGACGGGATTGGGTGTCTCGGAGCCTACTTGTACGCTAAATGCAATCCAATTACTGTTAACAAGAAAGGCTCAACTTTCTTTTTTAATCTGAAGACGCCTTCAGCTTGAGAAGCCGTACTCATTCTCTTTTAAATTCTAGGGCAAGATTTGTCTTCATCAGTTGTTCGATTGGCGAGGAAGAATACGACCATGCTGCACGTGGATGATATTTCTAGTGAGGAAGAAGATGCCGTTGAAGACGTGGGGTGAGATACTCAGTTCATTGGGCGTCGCATTTGATGGCGATTTTCCTACTTTTAAAGGAAACAAAACTGTTTTTCATCATCCTCGTTTTTATGTGATACCCCATCTTCGCCAGAAACGTAATAATTTTTTCTTCAATTTTGACTCGCAAAAATGTAGGAGGAATTCATTCGAACGAGGATTATGAGTTCAAATCATGATCTGAGCCGGGTAATGGGATGAAATTCGAGCATTGAGCGAAGTACTTTTGTGTATAACTTCATTCCTCCGGTTTTTTTTTCCCTTCGGTGACATAGTATTCGGTGTTTAATTACATTAAAAGGCAATTTATTTTTTGATTTAAATATGAATGCTGTACTCGATGTGAAGAAAATTATCTGGCGTGAGTTGACCTCCCCTTACAATCGGCTCAAGCTTGATTTCGGGTTTGAAGAATGATGAATTTGCAACTGCCAGGTGGTGACCAAGAAACCCATCTTTGATGAATCCTAGCCCCAATACGAAATGTACGTGTACAAAATCGATAGAATATATTTCACTCTGGAGCCCTCAAGAAATGACAGAATCCGTTCCTGTGTAAATTTTCTTATGCAGAAAGGCCATTTTACGGGAGCGAAAATTAAGGTTGAAAGATTCCAGCCTAGAGGTATGCATGATTTTAGAAATCGCTGATGGAAAATGTGGTTTCGCTGAATGAAAAGTAAGTAAGAACTAATTGCTTGAGCAGCTTCTTGAAAAATAAAACTGTTTAAGCGACCCAGATTATTGATTGAATACGGTGATGGAATTATTTTGTTGATGAGTTTATCTTTTTGTCCACTGTGCACGATACATTTTTTGGTCTTTAATGAAGGCAAGGCTGTGCTTCCGAGATGCATTGACAATTTTTGGTTTCATATAAAGGGGCTTACAAGTTAAATTGTTCAATTCACGAATTGACATAATATCGGTCTGAAATAAAAAAAACAGTTATACTGTAGTACTTTATCAAGTTACAGATGGTAATTTGACGCTTTTCAATACCTTTGTTCCATTGGTGTCTTAGTTCGTTCGATGTGCTCAGAGACTAGCCAGTTAACTGATTGTGCGCCTGATCGATTGATCTTTTATTCCACAGCAAAAATGTCGAGGGGAAGCGGCAAAAAACGGACTGGCAGCAGTAAGTGTTATTTTTGGATAAACTAAACATTTCACTGCTGAATTTTTTGTATTTTTCAATCCAGAAATCTTCAGAATCAGATTCTATTGAAACGGCTTCCAATGAGTGCGACCGAGTACATCATCCGATCCATGTTCCAAAAATTTGCGAGGCCTCTGGATGTTTCTGTGCGCAGGTCCAAAACTGACGACAAGAAGTTCGCCTTTGTTCTGTTTGATTCTCCGAAGTAAGTCCGAAAATTTTGTGTGGGACTGCTGGAAGTGAAGTGCTGTGATTTCGAATTTGAGTTTCTGGAGAATTTTTCCGACGCATGAAGAACGTTGCGTTTTGAAAACATTTGATGTTATATTTTTTAAGTCTATTGAAGATACCGTAGTTCCTTTTTCTCGAGCTAACCCTCTGTGAGCTAATACAAAGAACAATAATAACTACTGTACCTGGTTATTTTCAAAAGTTTTTGAAGTGCTCATCCCAGCTATACTGACAAAAAAAATTCATCAAGTTTTTCATACGAACGATTCAATTCCTGTTTTTCAAACTATCATCGCAAACAAGATCCAAAATTGAAAAAGTACATGAAGGTCACGGATAATTTCGAATTTTCTTCTGGGAATTGAAGCATGGTAAAATTAATTTTTATCTGCGCCGACCCAAATAAAGCTAGCTGCTGAATGATGTGCTTCAGTGCACAAATCTTTAGTTTCAGGTCTTGTATGAATACACTGCAGAATTTTCGGAATGCTCTACTCATGGAATTGAGCCTTAAGCAAAAAATGTGCAGTACAGTAATTCGTTCCAACTAGCGTTTTAGTTGGAAACGTGGTTTACTGTTTTTGCAACCTTCTTCGCCTGAAAATCAACCCTGGGCGTCCGAATCTCAATTTGCTGTTTGAAGTTTTCTGTTCTTGTTTCACATTTCATTTCTGAGCCACACGTGGAAATACAGAGCAGTATTATGAAAAGAATTGATTTTTGAATATCAGAGAAATGTAAAAAATGTATGATCTACTTCGAATGACAGCTGGTGAACGTACGGTATCCCGCTAATTTATGATGTGCTACTCTAAGGATTTTAGATTAAGTCTGCGGTACATACAATTATAAGTTTTCTTCACGCTCATCTAATTGTGTGATCCATTTACTTAAGGTCTGCTCAGCAAGCCAAAAGTGCTGTCAGGCAAGTTGAGTTCTTCCGACGCATCGGTCTTCAAGCTACGTCGCGGAAGGAAAGAGTTGATCCTCTTCGAAATCCCATGGATGACATAGATCCTGAAATTCAAGAACTCATTCAGAATTTTGAAAAAGATGCGTCCTTGAAGTGAGCTAAAACGTGTACAGTACTTGTTTTCCGAGATTCACATACATATTTTTCTTGTTCATTTCAGCGCGGGCAATAAAGAGCATGATAATGTGAAAGACGATCTTGCGGTTAGTGCAGAGCTTCAGGATGATCAGATAGTGACGAGCGTGGATCCGTCTGAAAATGATGTGAGGGTTTTCTTGGTTTTTTGTGGGATTCCTACTGTGCAATGCCGTAGAGTCAATTTCCTTCCAAATGGTTACTCATCCAATAACGAGTGCATGAAACAATAATAGCCTAATCATCAAACCTAAACATTTTTGAATATTTTGTTGAGATGTTCACTGTTTTTCGCATGAAAGAGCGAATTCCAGAAGCAAAATTGCATTTGTATGTACTTGATTTGTAGAAGAGAAAGTCTTAGATTGTATAGTATTCGTTCGATTTTGGGTCGCATTATTTTTAATCATGATATATAGTACCCTCTTCACGAGGCCTTTTCGAAAGTTTTGAAAAAAAAAATCTTGAGATAAATAAAAGCAAATGACTTTTTTCTCAAGAAAATTAGCAAATTCATGCGCTCCACGGGTTGCCTGTCACTTCAAAAATTTTGATTTTTCACTGTTCACAATTTTCTGTGTCAGATCAGTGCTTAAAATTTGGTTGAGGGCTAAAATTGCGGAAAGACGGCAATTGAATTTTTTATTAGATTGCTCATACGAGGCGTAAGATCTATATGCTACGCCGTAATCAACTTGCCATTCAGCGAGTTCATCTTCGTTGTTTAACCATTTCATGACTTTTCCAGGCTTCAGAGAACGACGAGGACGAGTCGAATGAAGAAGACGATGACGAAAACGTCATTGTCGCTGGAAATCTGAAATTTGCTGTCTTACGGGAGGATTTGCGGAAGACCAAGTTCTGTGTCGCCTGCGGCATTGGCGCGTTTTCGCTGATTTGCAAACATTGCGAATCCTTGCTCTGTGTCAAGTGCTCGCATAATCATTCTGCAGGCTGTAGCGAAGGGAAGTATGGGAAGAGGTGCGTTTTCTGTCCATCGAAGTTACTTCGGTAATCGAGTACAGTACAATATTCTCTTGCAGCGATGGTTCCGCTGTGCTGAGGCTGGAAAAACTTGGCCAAGAGAATGTTAAGAAGGATCAGAGCGCCGCCATTTTTCCATTTTTCCGATACGTTTCCAAGGAAGACGCATTGAAATTTTCTGGCAATTAATTGGGCTCAAGTAAATTTCTCGTTCCGGTCTTTTGCGTTCAGTTTTTTGAAGTCCCACGACAATGAGAGGACGATCGAAAAGCTCGATTCATTGATACAGTACAATCAACGCGCAGTGATTTTGACCAAAGAAGGCCTGTGGGTTCACGCGATGCCTGTGGCTGCTATCCGAAGATCTGCGAGTTTTTAGTTGACAAATGGGAGGGTATGTTGGAAGACGGGTTCTGTTTGCGCAATGCTCTGAAAGTACGTTGGAAGGTCTTCACGAAAATTATCTCAAGAAATTTCTTGTGGCTAATAATGAGGGCTGTTTTGCGGTGAGGAAATTTTTTTTTTTTTCAAATAACGCATTGCAAAAACTTGCTGTTGTGAAGATGAATTAGGGTTAAACCCCAGAATTTTAAATTTTGCAATGCTCAAAAATCTCTCTCTGATTGTTCTACGTAAATCTTAATGCGTCCGACCAATCTTTTGATGTTGATTACTTTATATTTTCTATGAAGTTTTCGTGAATTGGGGCTTCTTCGTAAATAATTGTCTTAAAATTATGTTGGGAAGTGCTGTCATGACAGCGATACTGTGTTTTGTCTATCTTTTAAAAATACCTTAGATCCTTCAGAAAAATATGCCAATTATTAGCAGCTCTTGATGATCTCTAGTTCCCCGTTCTGATCAATTTGAACAGTCATTTGTGTGATCAATTGGCTTTAGCGGTGAGCAGTAGTTTGATTCCCTGCCGATGCCAAATTTCTCCAAATTTTACACTGTTCGATAATTGTTTGGAACAAAATTTCACAGATGGTATGAATTCGTGTGATGCATACAGTACAAGCAAATTGTTGTGCTCACAAAATTGAATACCTCATAGCAAAATTTCTTTTGCTATGATTTTTTCACGAATGAAGCCTAAAACTTTATGTACAAGCTCATTCAAAATATGCATTTATCTCAAGTATAGAAGTAATTCTGTTTTGATGAAAGAGGTCATACATTACTATGTAGACGTTTCCTATAAAACAAGAGGAAACTGAGATTATAGGGAAAGAATCTCCTGAATTTGGGTCCTGAATTGAATGCAGGACAGATGTTCAATCAGATTGCATATCATTGCCCTGACGGAGAACCCAGAAACCCCAAACCTGTGTGCGTTTTTTTCCAGAAACTGCCCTCAATTTGTGATCAGGAATTCCATTAGCTTGAAAAACTGCTTTGCTGAATTTATTTGCGATTTTGATCAAAGGATGTGTGAAATCTTGGTTTAGAGGAAAGTAAGCATCCTGAGGTTAACTGAAAAACTTCTGTGTAATCTTTGTTCGTAAATGACTGAGTTGGTGCAATTCCTCATGCAAGAATGATGCATATCTGCTGAGATGCTTTGCATGACCCTTATTCAGGGAAGATTAAAAAATCCAGGACAAATGCATCCCCCAAAACTGGTAAACCCAGATCCAATGCCAGGGCCAGTTACTCTAAGGGCTTGTGTGCTCACTGCAGTTGTTGATGTGCTTTCTGGCGGATGAGTTGATGTTCTTCTAGGCAGTTGAAAAGGGGAAGCTGTTGTCAAAATGAACGTGTGGTCTCCAGTGCAATCAACAGGCTCGGGCCCAGCCATGTTTGATCAACAGACTTTGCAGAATCATCATCCACAATTCGCATACATTCCTAGTGAAGACAGTCTCCGGGTGCCTGAAATCCTCGAACGACAGGACGTCGATGATGACCGACGCCGAAATCCGTTTGGACTCCCGTAAGCTTTGTTAATAAGCTTCGTCAGTGACTGTTTCAGTTTCGTGATAATTACTAAATCATTGCCTGTTGCTTTTTTTCCCGAAGATTTGGATTGGGCAAACTTGGAGACATGATGAGGGATGCCGTCAGTGATACATTGCGGGACTCCATCCAGTTGAGTGATTATTTCTCATTCTTATTATACTGCGTGTGAGGATCTATTATCAAAAAAATTAATGCTCGGCAAAACTTAGCAAACACATTTTCGTATACGAGGGTTGTCCGACTTGGGTGTAACCTTGGTTATTTCTAGAGTAGATCTGATCGCGGAAAAAAATATGATGTAGTACAGAATGTTGTGATAAGGTTCTGGAATTTCCTTTGCTGACAGATTCCAATTTTTCAAATGTACTAGTATTTCCACTCGAGCACCACTTGCCCTTGAGTAAGACGCGCACCCAGGTTATTCACTCTAAAAGTTTCATGAAATTGTATCCCAGAGTGTATATAAGACCCCAATTCTTGGTGACGCTAAAACTGCAATATTCTGAAAGTAATAGCACCCAAATATTCGAATTCAGACAAAAATGAAACCGGATTCAACTTATTTACAATTATTTCCTTTAAAACGCGTGTTTCTGAAAAAAATGACATAGATTTCCCATTAGACTGGATTGAGTACAAGACATATGGAAACATGAAAACGTTTTGAAAAATTTATACCTGCTTATGATGCGCATAATTTTTTATTCTAATTTTTGAAAAAAGGATGTGTGGTATTTGAGTAAGTACACCTAGGTACAGTTCTGTACTTGTTTTCAAATTTTATGAAATTTCAGGACACTTCCCAAATTTTGCTGAACCCCCACCTGGTATAATCATAGATGTAAATGGAGCGATCAACAATTTATGAACTTGAATTATTCAGGAAACATTTATTTTATCCTGCAAATTTCATTCGTCCACTGCGTTAGGAATTTTATTTGAAATTATTTTTCGAATATTTTACTCAAAATGGATGAAGTTACGCTCAAATTTCCGTATTCCAACAAAGAAGTGTGAAAATTCTGCGAGAGCATATTATCTATAGTTACAGTATTTGAGAAGCAGGGTAGGAATCGATTTACGTCAGTATGAAAACGAATCGTCATGATTGTGATTATTTGCAGGAATGCTGTAGGAAATGCGGCGAACGAGGTTGGCGAAGAACCTCCCTTGGATGAGCCAGACACACAAATCATCCGAGTCCAGCGTGAGCCTCTCATTTTTCAACCAGATGTCACTGATGGTCTCATGCTCATCGTTGGCATCCTCTTTCTCATCGTCTGTGAGTATATGTCGCATTTTATGCTAGAATTGAAATGGTGCACGCTGAAGATTTTCATGCAGATATCCCTGCTGTTTTGGGCTTCGCTGCCAACTTTATCAACCCAGCGTTAAACCCGTTTGTCGATGAGCCGAATGCTTTTATTGCTTCCCACGGTGGCCACGGACGATGAAACTCACGATGATGCTTTGTTGTTGCTGTCCTGAACATATTGTTACTAAACTGTTCCATGAAAAATGCCTGTTGAAGTAAAATCACTGAGTTTAATCTGCATTAGTGATTCTCCAATAAATGGTGCTTCAATTATATGAAATTTGATGTACAAATGTTGTACACAGACCAGCAGCCTGTGATGCTCCTGTATGCTGTGTGCACAGAAATATTTCATGAAAACAAATTTCCTTATAAGGAATTTTTTCGTGGTCCCAGCAGTTTCTGCATGGGCGTCATGTTATAAAAATCCTGTTCTAAGAAACACATTTTATGCTGTAATATCTTCATGTAACAAATGTTGTGACCTGACTTTGGTGCATAGGCCGTATAAATTATTTTATAAATGTTGAAGGGTTGAAATTTCAACTGATGCAGCATTCCAAATTCATCAAGAAAGAAAAAATTTCTTTAGAAAACATTGTGTTCAAAAAGTACGGAACATGAGATATTTCTTGAAAGTTCTTTGACTCCATTCGAGAACGTATGCCTTCTTTTAAAAAAAACGGTGCGAAAGAAAGACTTTTCTTCTAATTAAAAAAAAAGGCATGAATGATTAAGTTTATTTAGAATGAAGTATTCATCCCATATATGTGCACTTTTGTTTCATTCTTCTTTTAGGCAAATATTTTCCAGGACTTGATAATGTTTCACTGTGACATGCTGAGTGCCTTCTCCTTTCGCAAGATACAGTAATTATCTTCTTCTTAGCGTTCTTAAACATTTTTTTATTTTTTTAAAATCACTTTGAAACATCAGGTCAATCTCCACAACAAAGATGTGTCAGAACTCAGAAGTGACACTGATTCTGTTATTATTGCATCATATTAAAATTAAATTAAAGGGAACATACCAGAATCAAGAATAGTTATTATAAGTTCTGTCATCATGTTTAAAGTATAATGAATAGAAATTGACACTTTGTATATACCCGTGACAAAATTAAAATATAAAATAAATGAGGATGAATTAATGTTGGCATTGGTTTTGTATGCTGGATGCTCTCATTGTACTGTATACATTAATTGTATCTTTCAAGATTATTTCTGTGGATTTTCTACTGATACCATATTGTATACAGCTCCTGATGGAGTCTCATCTGAACAAATCATAAATAATTCAGTTCTATATGGATGTCCCTCTGAAATTTAGCCCTTGAGTCTCAGTATTATCAGTATCTTTATTATGCTTATATAAACTGAGTTTCTTTTCGGTTTCAATAAATTAGATTCCACTATAAATTGCGCTTGCACTGTTGAAGTACCATCTCCATATTCATTTATTGCAATTTTAAACCCTGAAAGTGCATCTGAAGTTCTTCTTTGCTTGTTATACATATAAACTTAATAGATTCAATCAAATGATGTCTTCGTATACTGTATTAATTGAGAAATTCAGGTAACCGGCATATATATACAGAGGAAAAAAACCATGTAAAATTCTGCATTTTTTGGTAATGATATGACTTTATACTTGGCCAAATAGAAAGTGGAATGTTACTTATTAATTTTTTGATTTCATTTATATTAGGCAAATAATTTAGGGTCTCTTGGAATTAAGCCAACATCATACTGATTCAAAATTGATAAAAATTATTGTTTTATATAAGAGCGGATGGGAGTGGACAATTCTCATCCTAAATCTCAGCAAATGTCTACATGAAATTATCATGTTATGTCGCGTCATTTGTAGAGAAGTGAAAACTGAAAATGCTCATATTCGTATATACTTTTTATTTTCCTCCCTCACAAGAAGCTCCCGTGG